ATTGCAAGGCATGGTTTCCACATTACAAATAATCATTGTTGCATGCTTTCCAAATTCAGCATCTTTTATTTTAAAGCCTGGTCACCAGAACTGAACTGAGCAGGGGTTTGGCAATTGCTGTAGGTAAGAAAAATGAAGCCTCTTACTTCCTAGTGAGTAGCCTGCTTTAGGGAAATAGGTATCTTTCAGCATCCTTAGGACAAGTGGTAACAAATATCATTCTGATATGAACATGCAACCTACCAATCTGATGGATTAAAAGTATGGTAAAAGAAAAAGATATTTCAAATTGTACATTTCTACGCTTATTTATCTTAAAGAATAGAAATTGGAGTGTACTAAAATCCACATGCGAATTGTACAAACTTGGTTATTTATCACAGCATTTTTTTGAACGGAACTATGACTTTTCTTTTGCTTCTTACTTACCTCACAGTGTTGCTGTTACACATTGAGTTCTGAGTTTGGGTTTATTTGCTTGAAATACCTGTTGCTTTGTATATAAAATGTAATATCTATAAGTTCAATGTTCAGAGAAAATATTGGTACGATTGCTTCTAACAGGGAAAAAAAGAAAGACCTTATTTCCAGATTATTATAATTTATTATTACTAACTACAAGTTTATCTGCTTATGAGCTACCTGTCCACAAACAGCTCTGAATGCAATAGATGCATGTTGACTACTGTTCAAAAATGGCTATGATTGAGTTTCCTTTAATTAAGTTAAATGTTAGGATAATTTAATCCCTTTTTCATCAAGTTACAATTTACCCTAGGTTTTTCTTGCAGACCATCCACTGTCCTAGTCCCTAATCTGCATGTTCCAGTGAGAGATTCTGACTTCTTTTTGTTCCTACACTGGACCTCTTTGAACATGCCCCATTTCACCTCTGATTTGGTTTTGCTGAATCCCTTAGCCCTGTGCCTCTGCAAACTTCTAGAAGCTGCTTCTCTGTTGTATGGTTTATAGCTATGGCATCTAAATACCACAAATGAGGTGACCACAGACAAAGCCCAACACATTCCTCTTCTCTGTGTTCATTTTTCCTTAGTTTGTTTCTTTCTTCCTCTTTCTCATGTTTACTTGCCCAAGAACATGCCTGCATTTTTACCTTTCCCCCTTCATTTCTTTTCCATTCCCATGTCAAGCAGAGAATGTTGCTCCTTCAGAAGAGGACCATATTAAACTTGGTAGGCCCTAAATGTCAGTCTAGGATTCTGTCTAAGCTCTTCTTAACCACAACTCTTCTCTGAACCTTTCCTGCTCCCTGAAGCAGAGAATATCACCTCAGCTTTTGTTAGCCATATTTTATAGTTGGTTTTGGCAGCTAAACCCTCTTTCACCAAAACTAATCCAATCACCCCAGGGACCTGCAGGTTAGGAGAGAGTTCAGAGAGAGCTTATAGAGATAGGGGGCTACTGCTTCTCACGAGAGACAGCTGCTGGTGTGTTGTGCCTGTTCCGTGGTGGTTATTGCCTATCCCGGGTATCACGCCTCACAGAAGTCAAGGACTAAGATGACAAAAGACTAGACTACAGTGATAAAGTATGTAAAAAATGAAGAATCACAGAAGTGTTAGAAAGTGCTTCTTGCTTTTAATTTGAGGACCAGGCAGTAATTCAGCACCGCTGGGAGGACTCACCTGTTTTGTCATATTTGTGGTACAGCAAAGGGAGTCAGGGACAACATGCTTCTCAAATTGGTGAGCTTCCCAGCCTCATCCCTAGTGTCCTCCTGAGGTCCGCCTGTTCCTGCTGCCCCTGCCAAACCCCATGGCTTGAGCCCGGCAGAGGCTGCAGGTCGTGGACCCCCAGGCTGCAAACCATCTTCCTCAGCAACCAGAGCTGTCTGGCTCTGCAGTCTCATATATCCTCGATAACAGTGATTTTGCCTCATGATCTCCACTTGTGAAAGCCCTAGGTGAAACAGTATTCCCAGTGACTCCTTGTCACTTATTGGAGATCAGTGGTGGGAGACAGGCTATAGACAAAGTCAGTCTGTGAAGGACGGAGTAGCTTATCTTTGTCTGAAACAGAGCCAAGAACAATATATCAATGTCCATACATATTTAACTCTAAGGACTGAGTCAGGATTTGTCTTGCTGAGGTGCAATTTGTGAAGTTGAGGTATGGACGTCGTTTTTCTTCAGTAAAAGTAGCTGCTATCAGAAGGTGACTGGTAGCCCCTGTTGCTTTGCCCATGTTTTTTGCTGCTTGAAGAACAGTTAATGCAATGCTTTGCTGAAGTCTCACATAATGTTGTTATGTTACCATGACACACATACAAAAATAAAAGCACTGTTGTCAGGGTGATGTAGCCAAATTATTACCACCCTGTTTTTCCAGTATTCAGTTTAAAAAGATGTAGTTTTTTAATATATTTTAACTAAAAGTTTTAATGTCATTTTAACTAATGACAAAAACAATAGCCAAGTGATCATATGCAAATTTACATAAACAAGGTGGTATGAATTTAATAGATAGCACTGAAAATAGATCTGTCCTTCAGGTTCTGCTAGGGACAATGGTGAGAAAGGACGAGAGAGTTTTGTAATGATGAAAACCACTTTGATATTATTACTTGAAATAGCTGCAAGCAGAAGCCATAGATAATAATAATCTTCAAACTGTAGAGGTTGAAAGCTCCGAGAAGCCAAGAATGACTGCAGCTGCCTTGAGTGATGGTGGAACAAAGCCATATAGTTGTGAATAGTTTATGCAGATGAAATATAATCACAGAGTCAAAATGTGCAGTCATCAGGTTTGAGATCCAAGGAGCAGGTGGTACACATGTCTATCTCAGGATTTTGGAGGGGTTCCCTGGCATCAACCATCTCAAAGAATCATAGACTAAAGAAACAGTTTTGATGTCTACAATTAGATAACACAAGGGGACCGTCACTTCAAACACAAAATAATTCCTTGTCTATGGTCTTCTCCAGACATTCAATGAGGCAGATTGTTCCTGTTTTAAAATAATGCCTCAGACCTCAATGCCACTTTTTTCTGGAAGTGCTAAATGGAAGCTAATGACAGAGGGGAAATGAATTCCAAGTTCTGCAACTGGCAACCATTACCAGAGGACCCATGAGCTTTTCAAATCCATTTTTATGTACTTTAAATCGTGGCTTGTCAAGAACTGGGCAACCAAATGTGTAGAGAATTTGGCCAAGGTGGCCCACTGCTCCTGAATTATTGATGATCTGATTTGCAAATCTCTTTACTGTTTATAAAAAAATCTGCATTAAAAATTTCACCAATAATGTTTTGCTTCTGTATTCCTAGAAGAAAACAATTACTTTAATTATTAACGTTTTAATAGCCCTGCAGTTTCAGTGGTCACTTAGTGACACCATAGTGTGATGGGGTTTCTTAACTTCTACTAATCTTAAGTACTGCAGAAATCACTACAGTTTTGTTGCCTCAAATTTGAGAGAAAGGAACATTTTAAAGAAGAAGAAACAGTAACAATATTGAATAAACAATCTTGTGACTTTTGAGACATTTTAATATTTTTCTATAGCAAATGAAAAACATTAAAATACCATGTATATTGAGTCTGGATCTGAAAGTGGGTCTGTTCCTTCTTGACTAAAGGTGAATTTTATTGATGAATGAGCAGATTATGTGATCAATTTTCTCTTTTCCTTTCCTAAGAAACAATTGAATATATGCATATATGTATGGTCCAATGCAATATTGAGTCTAGAGAGCATCAGCTGAGCAGCTACCCTTCCGTTTTCCCTATCAGTTGCCAAGTTAAAAAATGTATAGCAGATACTGAGTCAGTGTAAAATGGTGAGCTCAGGCATTGATCCATCTTCTTTAAATTCTTTCATTATAAATTCTGTTATTAGAAATTAAAATCTTGCTATGCTGTCACTTCAGTCCACTTTCCTTACCTGCCTAATTATGCCAGTCATTAGCTATTCACTGCATGTGTGTGTTTAATAACCATTCTGTAATGCTGCCTTTTTTTCATTTGTCATGGTTTAATTATTCCGGTTAGAAATGAGCAAAATTGCCCAAAGTTTAAAGAAATGGCTTCTTTATTATTTAAGTAGTGATTTCCCATCATTGGCCAGACGAGTGGATTGAGGTTCAGGTGACCACATGTTAATATCTACAATTTTGACATATGTATCTAAGCTAGTCCTCCCAGGCTCCCTTTATAGACAATGGAGAGAAAAAAGCATTTTTAGGATGCAATGTCGTCCCAAATTAAGCTTCTAAAATAGATCAGATGATTTGCACCCTAAAAATGCTAGTTTTAGTTGACTGTAAATGGAAACAAGAGCAACTAGCTTAGATGTTTGCTTTGTAGATGTCCAAAGGTAGATGAGATGAATCCCATCCCTGGGCTCAAATCAATCATACATGCCCAGGGGTTTTGTGCGATGACACTACTAATGTGAATGTACTGTGGCTGTGTTTTTTGATGTAAAGGATGTAGTGTCATGCAGTGGTCTGCACAGATGAGCAAGTCCTGTTCAGCCCAAGCACAAGAAGTAGTACACTCGTGTTAGGACTACATTTCAACTACTGCTTTTCACCTTGGCTAAGTAGTACCAGGGTATTCGCATGTCCACTTTCTTTCCAGAACAGATCAGTTTGGGGAACAGCACTAATACTCTGATCGTAGACATACAGAGGTGGTGTTTAATATTTATGTTGGAAGATAAATGTAATGGCCTTGACCAGACTAGGTCCTGCTATGCAAAGCAGAGTATATCATACTACTACTACCACCACCACCACCACCACCACCACCACCTATTCTTGCCCCAGACAGCTCACAAAGAACTAGTTTATAAAGACTGAAAAGGGAGGAACCTGAACAGAAGTAGCATTATTTAGGAATGACACATGGCAAATGTATCTTGCATTAAAGAGGGCTGAAAAAGGTGACAGATGTTGAATGCTGAGACTTTTTAAGGTTCTGCTAAATTTAGGACATTGCCTTAATGGTAATTTTTCCTGTGGGTTTTTCCCCTTAGGATGATTTCCAGCATGCAGCCTCAGAAACCAACTGGGAGTCAGTCACAAGCTCTGTCTCAGTAAGTAATTTGTTACTGTTTTGCCCATGGATGGATTGATAGGATGGCTTGAATCCAGCTCACTAAAATGGCACCTGCACAGAGGACCTTTGGCAGAGGATGAAATAAGTGTTTATCCAACTCGTACTGGAGTCAACCAGTGTGTTTTTAAGGAGAAAAGATTCAGGATATGCCATCAGTTGTTGTAATCACGAAATAGCCATTGGGAAGCATTTCTTGCTTTCAAACTCATCCTGCCAAGATGAAAATACAAGCTATAAACTCCTTGCAATTTTAAACTGTGAAATGTCTTGACCTAAATAGAAGACTATACTGAAAACAGCCTGTCAGGAAAATGGATCAAGTTTTTTATTGTCCATACTGAGATTTTTATTAAGTGTTTGTAATAAAATATTATATTTGAAGACTTCATATTCAGCAGTAAAATGAGACTTGGAAACAAACAAAAAAAAAAAAAAAGAAGGAAAACAAGTAATCCAGTACAAAATTTTATTTTTCTCTTCATTACATTTGATTTGTGTCATTGGCCAAAAATCTGTCCCCTCTTTCGTTTCCCGAGTAAAGTTAAATGCTGGAGAATGGGAAGGTATCATCAGAATCCATAATACGGGCAGTCCTCTTCTGTGCGCTCTGCTGACGGGTCAGCACAATGTCACAGCTCTTGTAAACTCCTCTTAAAACACATGAGATGAGGGTGAGCGTTCAAAGCAGGCTTGAGACCAATGTTTGGAGCATTTGTGAAAGAGGGTTTAGTGATGGCACCTTTGTTACAGTAGCTGCCAGGAATTGCCAGTGGAGGAGTAGTAAATGAAATATGGGTAAATTCTATTGATTAGTGTCCAGGCCAGGCAAGGAGTAGAAAGAAAAATCTGTATTGCCAAAATTAGAAGAGGTTCAGCCAATCTCATTTGTGTGGCATTGCCCTTCATGATACGATGTATTGGTAGCCTTGAACTACTTGTGCTGAAAGCCCTGAGTAGTAATGTTAGCAGGGCTGAGATCTACTGGATGTGCCAAGCAGGAGATGCTAAAACACTATTTTACTGAAAGACATAAACTAATTTTTGATTCTAATATGGGGTTGGAAAAAAAATACCTATGTGATCGAATATTTTGTTTAAAAATATGGTAGGCTGATGTTTGAAAACGTAAGCCTAGGGCTCCCTCATCAGGTAACTACGAAAATGAGATCAAGTATATGATAAACGCCATGTTAGTTATCCTCCTTAACATCGCAAGGTGCACAGTACGCCAAACAATAATCCAGTTATTTTCATATTGAAAAAGAAGTTTATTTATCTTTCACATCTATTTGTTTCTGAAGAGTTGTTGTTAATGTGTTACAGGTAGGGAAGTTCACTACAAATATACAGGTAGCAGGCTGATGCCCAAGGTCACATGGAAACCTACAGCTAAACTAGAAGCAGAACCCCAGTTTTGTTGGTTTTCCCATGCCATCCCCTATCTTATAAAACATATTTTTTCCATTGGGCATGCATTGCACCCACTAGCCCTTTCTTATCCTCAGGGAAAATAACATAGTGAGGGTGAGTAATTTTTCCCAAAGGCACCAAGGAAAAAGTCTGAGGACATCTGAATTCTTCAGGAGAGAAAGGTTCAGGGATTCTGCTGTGGTCCTGAGGGGCAGAAGGACAAACTCAGACCTGTCAATTGCCAGCAAGGTGACATACTGTTCTGCTGATACACAGCATGGCAGACCTAAGTTTTGCCCCTCAAACCCACAGGCAACCCAAACACTTATATTAGGATCTGGGTACATTACAACTCTCAGAATGAAAATTTGAGGATGAGCAATTTCCTTCTTCCTTGTTTGAGGTTATATCACAGAGTCATATTTTGTTTGTTTTTTTTTTTTCCTCAGAAAGCTAAAATCAATACTTCTGCCCTTAACCCAGCATGGCAAACCCAGAAAAAAAGGAAACAAAATTCGCTCCTTATTAAGATAGTTTCCATTATTTGTGAAGTAATTTATGACCAACAAACAACTGTGATGCACGTTGAACTGCCTGCCAGCTTCACAGTACAGATAGAAAATAGAAAAGCATGGGGGAACAGAAATTAAGGGTAAGAGCACTAATAACAAAAAGGTACCTTTGTATCCCCTGAAATTAAAAATGCATTCAGTGCATTTAAGAAATGTAGAAGAGGAATATAATGTGGAAAATCTTTGCTTTTCATTGCTTCTTGCATATCATTCTTCCTCTCGCCCTCTCTTCGGATGTGATCGCAGAAGCCAGATTACAACGAGCACAAGCTCTTCTAAAGCTAGCGCCTCGTTCTTGGCAGGACAAAAGAGAGGCAGTTGGGTTGGCAGCTTTGAAGTTGCTTTTGGGCCTGTCACATGATGTCGCTGCCAGTAGGTTATCTGAGCTGTTGAAATAATTCCTCTTGACTTGGCTGTCACTGAGAAAAAGTTAAGCTTTCTTCCATGTGTGAACGAGGTTACACAAATCTCTTGAGTAGGAGTTTTTTATATGAAAAGAAAATGGGGAATCCCTGCTGCCTGTATGAGTTTGAAATGCCCTGCAAATTCACAGCCTGACCTGCAGTTCTGTAATGAAATGCACAGTTGAACACATGACAAAAACTCTTGCATTGTCTAAGCCACGCACCTATGGCCTGATTTTTATGCTGTTGTTTCTTCAACATCCTTGCACCATCTCCTTCCCTTTCGAGAGGCAGTTGAGGACTGAGGTTTCCCTGTTGGGCTGCAGTCACAGAAGAGCCATGAGCTCCACTGAGCTCTCCTCAGTAAGCAAGTAGCATTTGGGCGCGTTTTTCTTTTGTAACCTCAAAGTCTGTGTTAACACACTGCGTGATGCCTGCCCACAGCATAGGCACTCGGGCAGCATCGTTTTAGATAACAACACTGTGTTCACTTCTCTGGCGTGAGCTTTTCAACTCCTGGGGCTCCTGTCTCTCTGACGGTCTCTATTCCAAGCCACTTAGAAGTCAGGAGAGATGCTTTGAGGTATGCCTTCCCTTTTAGTGGTTCATGAATTTTTACAGCCATCTGCACTGTGTCATATTTAGCACTGCTTTGTAGAGACATTGCAGTCACAAGTGGGCCCTCTGAAACTTCTTGTGCGGTTGGTGATAAGCAATGAAGTGCAGCTATGCTTTCTTGACCACAGTATTGTAACGTTTGCTATTTCTTCTCTTTCTTGTTTTTAATAATTTGGACTGTTCATACTCTCAGCAAACATACACAGTAAAATATCAAGGATTGTTACTTTTGTGATACAACTTACCATTAAAGATAAATGTTTTGTTTTTAAAAAACATATATACGTTAAAACTATTTTAGTAGGCATTGAAGGTCACAATCCTGCAAACAAGTGAGAAACTGTACTCAAATGAGTTCACCTTTCCATTACTACCCAACTGAATTAAGTTAATCACAAAGATTAATAGTTTAACATATGCATTTACTTGGGAGATGAGGCAAAAAATTATTTGGAGGAGCCATTAATTTCAAATGGCATATTACTTCAGAGCTGGGTTTTCATGAGAGGAGAGGGTTTCTAGGGTCTTTCCCCAAATGTTTTAACTTGTAAGACCAAAATCCAAACAACTCTTGTGCTATATTATGCTTCTTGTTGGTCAAAATCAGGTATTTTGATTGTGGTCCTTCAGAAAGTAACAGGTCTGCATTAACAGTTTTTCTTGCATGTATTTTACACGTACTGCTGGGCTTTGTGCTTGGACAAGGGAAAAAGTGATATCAGGGTAGTGAATATTATGATTCTAAATAACAATTATGAAAAATGTTTAAAGTATTCTCCAGTAAAATGTAATTGCTGCCATCTTTCTGTCAAAGTCAAGTTGTGACACAAGTTCAGTGGGAACCAAATGCACACAGACAATGGTACTTGGCCGTTCCTTCTGGTGGGAAATAATACTCCATTTGGTATTACGATATAATTGTGAGGATATCACTATGTTGGTAATCCAAATATTCATTGTTACATTGCTGAGATCCAAATATCACATTTTCTTAGTAACTTGTATTTTTGGTAAAAGGGTGGGAGAATTGGCATTCATTGGTGTTTCATAATTCATTTCATTCTTGGGAATAAAGGGCCATCTTTTCAAGTCTTTAACGAGGTGAAATTTGTTGTCCAAATTGACCAGGGAAAGAAAGACAGTCTAGTGGACTTGTTGCCTTTGTCTTTCTCTGCTGTGGTTTCTGATCTGCCAGCAGATCTACCAACAGAGCTGGCAGAGTTGTGAAGGCACCAGCCCAGCACTACAAGGCATCTCCATTCTGTGGTCATGGCCATCACAGTGGTTTCAAAAGACATTTCCATTACATCTTTGTATATGTGCAAACCATCATCCCCTTTGAGGAGTGGGTGTGTATGTTGACAGTCCAGCAGTGGCAGTGCTTCCATTCCCTGCATCTCCTCCAGGATTTGGTTGGGAGTTCCTTGATGTCTCTTCTCCTTGCAAAAAGAAGACACAGTCATAACAAAGCCTGACCCAGCTAAGGACTTCAAAAGATGGCCCAAAGTAGCTGTTTCAGTCAATAATGAGACACGTTTCTCAGTAACTGTTTTCAGTTGTTTTAAGTGGTGCTGTAATTTATTCCAAGTGCACTGAGATGTATGTCACTCTTAGGGGGTATCCTATCCCTCTCCATCAGTGACTGACCCTACGCTCACGGCAGAAGCACTGGATCAGACTATTGCTGCATTTGACACAGTGGAGGATCTGCTCAAACACTTTAACCCAGACTCCTGGCAAGAAGATCTTGAGAACTTGTACACAGACAGTGGCCACCATTATCGAGGCAGGAGCTACCATGACAGGAAGTCCAAAGGTAGGAAAAGACACTGTATACATACTTTGGGTCAAGACCAGGATATTCTTTCACTTCTCATAGAAATGTCTGTTGGTCAGGTGCTAGATTGTGGTGCCTGTGTTCCTGTTGGAGTCACAGGGCATGGTACCACCTGTGAAAACCAGGGAGAAGTAATTTAATCCTTAATCGTTTTCAGACTGAGTAGGATCTCACCTGAGAAATCAGACTGAAAACTGCCCATCGTTATGATGAGTTCACAAATTAAAACATAGGCCCATGTGTAAAGGACAGATGGTTCTCAGCTTCACTCTCTTAAACATTGCTTTGTGTGTAAGGCATGGGGCTCCTAATTACCTGCGCTATCATCCTCCTTTAAATACCCTGCTTAGGGATTGTTCTCTGTTGAGTGAGGAATAATCACTTTTATCACATTGTGCTTAGGGAAGCATCTGGTGCATCCACCTGTATGTGCAGCTGGTTTTTTAGGATGTGAACATCTCACTGTTTTTCATTGTGTTGGTGGGGAACATTATGTTTTAACATCTTTGTCTGTAATTGAGCAAAGCACACATTTCTGGGTTATGTTTCTTGTTTCCTTCTGTTAGTTCAAATCATCCACCAAATGGTAAAGCAAAGGGATGTTAAGCTAGCAGTACAAACCCATAATGATAAAGAAACACTGTTTAGAAGAGACAGTCGTACTCTGGGGTAACTATGCACTGAAGGGCCTGATGAAATTGCCCTTTATGTGCAAGCACAAATCTAGGAGGTCTGTTAGGGTTCTCCAAGACAACAGTTGCTGTAGTTTTAACAGAAGATCTAGAGCGAAATATTTTATATGAGTTCCTTTCTTAGTATTGTTTTCCATTTCCAAGATATATATTCATATGCATTCTGCTTTATAACTTTATAAATATAATGCCCAAGTCACAGTTCTGATTCTGTGCAATCTACGTGTTATTTGCATCTCAGATCCCATCCCCCCTATGTTAAGTGTCTGCTAAGCAGGGAGCGAGGATTTTAATTCTATGTTTGTAACTTACTTGCTATCAAATGATGAGGCTTAAATGTGCTTTGATCTGAAAAAGGATATGTAGGCTGCATCTGTATTAGGAAAAATAGTGTCAAGGAGTGTTCCCAGGCCCTGCAATCCTATCATCATGTTGCTCAATTGTCAGCCTGGTCTCTGTTTAGTTTTGGCCCAGGCCAAGTGTCATTCTCGGAGGTCATTGCTGGGCAAAACCAGGAGCTGGCAAAGGCTAGCTGCCGTTCCTGGTGGCAGTTTGCATGTGGCCACCCTGCCTTGGAGAGGAAGAGGTTTATGATAACGGATGTGGGTCCCATGGCTCTTGGCCTTTGTGCAGGAGAATGACCTCAGGCACATACAATGTATTAGATATGCAGCCAACTTAGCCTACAGTTTCCAAGACACGTTGGCTGTCTGGTTTGGGGCTCAGCACTTCAAAGAACTCTGCAATAAAGCCCTGAGCACCCATCCAGTGAAAACTGAACCCCTTTACTCCATTGTGGCACATCAGAAATTTCAGGCAACCACAACAGCCCATATTTTGTGGAAAACGTCACCTGACTGCCACTGCATCACTTCTGAGATCAGTTTGATCTCATTTTGGGGCCTGTGAAACATGAGCTGTGTGTCCCCTCTTCCCAGGCTGGATTTGACACTGATAGACATGTATACAAAAGAAGTAAAGGGTCTGTTTTGATTTTAATAGAGGATGGTTAGAAACCTGGATCCCTGTACTGGTTCTGCTCTCCCAATTTCATTTGATTCTCAGATCATATTTGGCCTAATAACCCATATGTTTAAATGACCATGTATATATAAAATAGCATTTATTGCTTTATTGATGCTAATCATGTAGGCTACAGGTATCAATCTGATCTGGTAACACTTGAAAATTCAGATTCTTAAAGGTTTCTCCATTTAATATAAATGTAATTCAGCTTCTTGCATAACTGAACACTGTAAAAGACATAAAGAGCTTTTCAGTTATTATTTTAACACTTTATTTTAATAAGATTTTTTTTGTTGCTGTTTTGCTTACAGGAATGAGCAAAAAAAGTTTTATTGCAGTTTTTCTTTTGTCTTCAAACTAAAGGCCAAATTCCTTTACTGTAAGCAGGCCTCTGGACAAAAGTACCTCACTGCAATCAAATCCTTAAAAAATTTCAGTTAAGAATTTTTATTTAGACATAAACTTTTGACAAGATTAAATGCTTGTTCTTGGATGATGTCAGGAGTAGGGAATAGTTTTAACAAGTCCTTAAATTAGAAATGCTTGGTGGATTTTAAACACAGACACTGTGCATCTCTGAGGAATGTTTATAGGCACTGGGATAACCTTGCAGCAAAGAGAGCAATAGATTATATCATCATTTATTTCAGATATCTATCTGTTTCTGCTTCCAGTTTGGGTTTTATTCTTTATTCTTAGTTAGAACAGCCCTGAGGCAGATTAGAACAATTTGATGTAATCTCTGCCTATCTTTCCCAAAATTTTCAGAACATGTCATATAAATGGTTTAAATGAATCACTAATGATTTTGCTCCCATCCAACTCTCTTCCCATACCAAATTGTGCCACGAAATTGAGCTTAAGAGGTGGTGTTACTGAATACCAATTCTGATAACAGGGATATGTGATAAATGACATTTAAATGGTATGGGTTTTTTAATTTGGCAATCAATAATCCAGAAAGATGAGGGTCAGGGTCAAGGAAATAAGAACTACAGTATTTTAGCATAGCTGAAACTCACAGAATCACAGAATAGATGAAGTGGGAAGGTGCATCAGGAGACTGTCCAGTCCAATCCCCCTGCTCAAGGCAGGGTCACCAACAGCAGATTGCTTGGAACCATGTCCAGTCAAGTTTTGAATATTTCCAAGTATGGACACTCCACACCTCTCTCGGCAACCTGTGCCTGAACAGCTCCGGGGTAAAAAAAAAAAAAAAAAAAAAAAACCCACCCATTTTTTTAAACATTTAAATAAGTTTTCCTGTGTTACAATTTGTGGCCAATACCTCTTGTGCTTTCAAAGACTCTGACTCTATCATCTTCTTTATTCCCTCCCATGATGTATTTATACACAGTTATAAGGTTGATTGCTCCCTGGATACCTCCTGCAAGAACCTTAAAGTTGAAGAGTGTGTTGATTAAATCTATATGCATGATAACTCTATTCCATCTGATCTCACACCTCTACAACACTGATGCAACTCTATTGAGTTAAATGCATTTCTTTCTATTTACACTATTGAAGTGAGATATTGGTATCAGGTGTGTCTCACTAATAACCACATGAAGTTTTAAATTTCATTCTACATATGTTCACTGAGGTTTGCTGTTAGTCACTCCAGTAGAAGTCAACTATAGAATCACAGTGAAACCCAGATTGGAAGAAAAGGACAGAAAAGTAAAGGGAAGATAGACATTTTGCATTGTAAATTTACTCAAAAAGGCTTGTTAGCCATTGCTGCATTTTAGAAACTCTGAAAGTATGAATATTCAGCCTTAAGCTCATGCTAGACTCTTAGGAAAAAAGCAGGTCATACCAAATAAATTATATCCCTTACAATAATTCCTTTTGCATTGCTGTAATATGTTGTACCCGACCTGAGTGTCATAGTAATTTGGCTATTAAAAATATAAAACATCTCTAAAAGGATATCACTGCATATTAGGTTATTTAATACTGTTCTTAGCAAGAACACAGGTAGATATAAAAAAGAAATCAGCCATACTCTACAATTATGTTGAACTTTAGACAAATAGGTCTCTATTCTTTTAGAGTCATAAGGAGAATTCAGACATGTTTGAAGGAAACCTCTTCATCCTACAGCTTAAATTTTTGAAAGCATCAATGTATCTGCTTGATAATATTAGAAGAGCTCCTCAGAGATACTGTTGTAAACAGTTCCAACCATCAGTTAAACATCGTTTAACTTTTCCCACATGCTTGTTTGCATTTATCTTTTGTTGTTCACTCTGAAGTTTTACATCCCATTGAAAAAGGCTTTGGAATTTTAAAAAGAAAGGACCTCTGGCTATGAAATGGCTTGTCTACAAATGAAGAAAGGAGAAAGAAAAAGTTCACTGTTTCTCATCATAGAAGTAGATCCAAATGTCTAGGGGATGGTACCGAGACAAAGGGGCCATTTTTAAAAAGGAAGGCTTGGGGTTTGTTTTGTTTTGTTTCCCCCAGATAAACCTAGGAAGCAGGAACACAGGTGGATAGATACATTCTGGTAATTAACAAGACTACACGTGCCTCTGAGCTCATTTTCTTTTTGGGAAATAGTATGCAAGAAGCCTTTGGCTATCAGATGAAATTAATCAGGTGGGACATTCTTGCAATAACAACTGTCTGCAATGACAGCTTTACAGGTGAAATAAACACTTGCTGGCATAGCCACACTGCTCGCTAAAAGGGGAGTATCGAGATGAGACTGCAAGTCTTCATGGAATGTTTCTGCTGTCCTTTGCCAAACAGGTTCCCAAGATCAGGCAAGTTTTGCCATGTCCTTAACAATAGTTTTTAATTGTCACTGCTTACAAGGGTCTAGAAAGAAGTTAAAATTTTAACTCAGAAATGTAATTTCTCAGGGGTTTACAAACAGTGGCCAATAAATTACTGCAAATGTCCATGTACTTTTCCTTGAAAGGTTCTGGGATGGCTGCCAGCAAGTTTCAGTGCACCAGACAGAGAGTGCAGGCATTACAAATGCTGAATGCCCCCTCATTCACGGCAAATGTGAATATTCCAAGTAGATGGAATACCTTCTCAAATATCTGCTGATTTAAAGTATTCCCTGTGCTTAAAAAGCAGGATATTTCTTCCACCCCTCTCAGTTGTATGCAAACTACACACATTCATTCATTTCACAATCATCTAATCTAATTCAGATCTACATCCGTACACTTCCCCCTCTGTGATAAATGAGATTTTCCCTCATGTCTTACGTGACATTCTTGTTGGTCACTGCAGTAAAAGCTT